CCCCCCTCCCTCTCCCAGTTCTGTATCCCCACCATGCCTTACCGACGCCCTATCTATCCTTTGCAGCCACCATGTCGTCCTACGTGCTCGGCATCGACTTCGGCACGACCAACACCGTGGTGGCCGTCATGATGGAGGATGGCGTCGTCGAGGTGATCGCTAATGACATCGGGAACAGGACGACCCCCAGCGTGGTGCACATCGACCCAACCGACCCTTCCAAGCACCAGGTCGGGGAGGCCGCCCTGAAGCTGGGACTCAAGGACCCGCAGAACACCATCCGCAGTGAGTGGGTACTAGGTACTCGGGTAAGGTGTTACCTTACTCGAGGTGGGATTGTGCGGTTGTGCGAAGAGTTGTTTCCTTCCCTATCGCACCACACGCGCCCGGCGCCCCTGGGCTAGGAAGCACGTTCTACTCGACGACGTCTATTATATATCTACTAGATGATTACGTCTATTTCCTGACCATCTAAACGTCTACAGAAACGTCTAGTTGGTCCGAATATAGACTTTAGCCTTAAGAAGACGTCCAGGAGACGCCGAATGGATAAACCGCTGGGCTCCCTCGTATTGCAGATGTGAAGCGGGTCCTGGGCTTCCCCCCGGAGGCAGCGCGCTTTGTCACAGCTCTCGGCCCCGTGAAGGTCCTCGCCTCAGAACACGGGGAAGCCGTGTCACTCAAATTGAGTGGTGGTACCGAGACCACCCCAGAACAAGTAAGTGGACGTCTCTTTTACTGTTAATCCGTCTCGCCAAGATTTTGCAAAGAAAAACAGTCCAGGATTTGTGGTTGTTTTGTACACTTCTTTTAGACGCGTATGACCAACTCAAAAACAAGGTGTCTTCTGACCGTGTTAAAATACTGCGGGAGTTTGTGGGTTACCTTAGTGTTTTTCGTATAGGACAGAGTTTAGGATATGTTAGGATGCAAATGCAATTAGAAGTGAGCGCCTGGTCGGTAGGCAACCTCTTGCGAGGCGCGACCACCGCGGCTTGCGAGGACGGTGTTAGCGGGGAGACAAGTCGTCCTGTCGCAAAATCGCGCCCCGCGAACCTGCATGAACTACCCCTTTTGACAGGATCCACCCACAACCCAACCCTACTGGCTGATCAGCAACCCGCGGAGGACGACGCGAGCAGTCCTGTCAAAAGCCTGCAACAGCACACACTTTTCTGGTCGGACGAAGAATTGTCTCCCTGCTAAATCACATAAATCCGTCCGTCGAGCCGTGGGCCATGGGGTCGCGCCCCGCACGAGGTTGCTACCCACCAGACGCCGAATTCAACTGGTGTATTTCGGCTAACGGAGGAAGTAGAATAGCAGGTAGAACATGAACATTCCCAGTTGGTCGAGAGCTCCCGGCCTCGGCGTCACACCGGTAGCAGGGGCAAAGGCTCGACCACCCTGAGGAACCTTCATGTTCCACCAGCTGTCCTTCTTTCTCAGTTAGCCAAAACACGGTCCCGAAGTATTTTCAATCAGTCAAAAAGCACCCCCGTATATTTTTTTCTGTCACACTCTTCATTTATTC